CAATTAAAAACGAAAAAGAAAAAACAGAAATTTTCCAAACTCTGTGATTCTTAATTCTATCAAGAATTGATATCCGGTCTCGCGCCAGTATCGCGCGGCTGCGTTCCCGTGATATCATATCTTGTTGTTGTCACGTCGCGAGGAGGAAGTGGAGTCCACGGGACGTAACACAAGTCAATTAGGGAAACATTTTTCCTCATTTTCGGTAATTTTCTGCCACCTTTTATAAAAATGGTGGGAAGAGAAAAGAATGGGAAACTATTTCAATTTAAAATAATTTTATTAGGGGAATGAAAAAAAGAAAACTTTTGCATACACCTAATAACGTATAAAATAGTTTTTTTTTTTTTCAAAATTGTAGAGTTTGGAATCGCGAAGCAAACAGATTTTTAAGAGACAAATTGGGTGATACTTAAGATGTTCGCTTTTACGAAACAAATAATAATAGAAAAGAGAAAGATTTCATGAAAGAGAAAAGCGGCTGTGAGTGATCTCGACCGCGCGTACCATACTGCGCCTTGCCAACGCGTTTGCGCAACATCGATCTGCAACATTATTTCGCGGTATTGCCCACGTAAACGCCGTATCGTGTCAGTTCGACGGCGGATGTTCCTCGGAGAACTCGCTGTTTGTGCCTATATAATATGGAATATTGTTCTGTCATTCTCGATCGACCACGAGATCGAGAAATTTCCAAGGTGCGTTTGACCAAAACTTTACACGCCAATTTAAATGCCAATTAGACAATAATATGTAGACAACATATAGAAAATGATTTCCGTTTCACGCTGCGGATATATTTTATGTAACTGGGGGAAAAAAAATCGATTTTTTTAGATTTACGTACGAAACGAATCAATCAATCCCTCGCTTGTCCGTTTCTTTGCTTCCAAAGGATATTCCATTGTTTCTTGTAGAAATTAAACGTTGTTTCATAAGCTAGTTTTTTAATCTGTTATTTATATGTTTTTCTTTTACGCTGATTCATCGGAACAGATGTTGATGTGATAAATAATAAATTGATCGAATGTTAAATGCACAATCCCCAGACGAGAAAGCGATGCGCAACCTCGCTCGCAGGCTGTTAGTATGGCTGACACTGGCGCTGTCCTTCCTGTTAGCCACTCGTTTGTTGTTCGGTCACGACTCTCGGGTGCCGCCGACAACGACGACGATCCTCTTTGGCGACGTCATCCCGATAACGGATCGTAGCCACGTGAATTCGCAGCAGGCCGTAAGACCACCCTCTTATACGGCGGGCATGTACATGGCGGGTCGGCAACCCCGCAATGAAAGTGCCTGCAAATGGTATCATGGCTTACCGGATGAACTCTCTTATCCACCGTCCAGGCTTACTTGGAGCCCTGAAACGGGCGAGAAAAGTCCTTACAGGTAGACAACCGCAATTCAGAAGGAGATTGTCTCTCTGTATTTTCATTAGCATTAATCACATTATTAGCATCGATATCGATAAAACTGACATATTATATGGACGTTAGAAAATAAATGTTCGGGATAGAAGGAGTACGGAGAAAAAAGTTTGCTGGCACGGCAAGCATGTTTTTTGTCCTGCCATATGTAGCAATTAAATTTCGCCAATTAACACCGACAATGAGAGATAATGCTATGTATATATTTGTTAAAAATAGCTCTATTGGATTATCGAACAAAAATATATTTTGCTGTAAAGACAAAACGATACATTTCTACTACGTGTTATTGAGAAGCAGCATGCGATTAAAATTAATAATTTTGTTGCAATTAAAATATGCAATTGCATAAAAGTTACATCTGAAATTTAGTTCATTTTGTTTGAAACTAAAATGTTTGAAACAAAGTTGCTCGGAAGAAGATTCGCGTCTTTTAACACGAGAAGTAACAACAAAACTTCCGTTTGCTCTTGTACGTGAAAACTTGTAGCCCGTGTTTTGCTGCGACACGGCGAGATTCTTTTTCTCCGTGCAGGGTTCTGCCGTTTGTGTTGCGCGGCGCCGCCGATGCGACAACGAATAGGTTGCCCCAGGTCACGCTGTCCACGCACGCCACCGCGGATCAGGTTTACAAGATCGTGGAACTAGCCAAACGGTGGGAGGGACCGCTCAGCCTGGCGGTGTTCGCGCCAGGCCTCGACGCCGGCCTCGCTGTCACTCAGCTTGATCGGGCCTGTCGGTGCGAGTTTGCCATGTTCAAGGTCTCCTCAACTTCCTTGCCACGATCGCGAATCTTGCGTGTTCAAAGCACACGCCCGTCTCGACATTTCCCGAGAGTTTCATTTGGTTTTTCCGTTAAAACGCACGCGAGAGAGACAGAGAAATTTTTGTAATCAGACGTCAATCAAGAATTTGCAAATGCAATATATATACGCATTTAAGCTTTTGAAACACTGTAAAAAGTTTGCAAAACTTTTTATTAGCGAACAAGCAATCTTGTTTTTTTTTTTTTTTTTGTTCATTATCTGTAGTATAAATCGATTCTAATTCTCGCGCAAAAATTATGTTTCAACTTTGCTTACACAATTTTAGGCATATAGATATAGATTAGTCCACAGCTTTCACGGTTTTAAATATATCCATAGATTAGTCTCACACAGTTTTTGCGTACTTACATAATAGAGCATTACTCACACGTGACACACATCTACCGAAGCGAGACCGAAACTTAAATGATAAATGTGACTGACGTAGATGATTCATTTGTAATCAGCATAATCGTTTTAGTCCAATGTGGAATACGAATTGTATTAATTGAGATTATACAAATTACAAATGTTTAATTATTCTTTGTGCGTGTGTGGTTTGTTTTAAATAAAAACTGTGACAGGTAACACCACACTATATAATCGCCTGCATTGTTTTTATTTAAAAAGCTTATTCACACCACATATTACATTTACGAAAGAACAGAAATCTCACACGCGATAATATTGTGCATCCAGACAGCGTAGCATGTCCGAAATATACATCAATGAGAGATTTCGAACATATGTTTTTGAAACATAAGATACGTCTTCTGGATGATGAGACGTATCTCGGACATGCGTGCCGTGTGGATGGCATTTTGCATCGCTAACGCAATCACACGCACCATCTTATTTGAAAACTTTCGAAAGTGATGAAATATTAGTTTTGTAAACCGGATATGTAAATCAATTGCTTGTTTACTCAAGTGCTAATACATTCCGAATTATATTCGGAAAAATATGTTAGTCTCACATTCGAGATAAAATTATATCAGCAAATTCACGTTCTATCTTATCTAACAATATTGCCGTTTCTTTTTCCTCACAGCTGATTTTTTTTTTTTTTTTTTTTTGGTGAGATAATAAACGTTTAATAAATGCGCTGCTCACACGCTAACGAATCATTATGTATTTATTTTTACTTTCTTTTCTCATAGATTACGTGTATATGAAATAATCGATACAGACATTATTCAACGCCAATAATTTTTGTACGACCGTACGACCGTCTAAGGCTTACCTGAATACATTTGATTTGAGACACAGTACTACTATACGCTTTCTCCTTTCCGTATCTTTTCTTTTAGGTCTTCGCAATTCAATATGGTCATATGTCTCTGTAATAATTCCGACACCAGGTTTCCGTCCACCTGGTGTTTCCGGTTGGTCAGCCGCCTGTCCTAGACACGATCGGTCGCACTCAGGGTGACTGCGCCGCCGTGGATGTTCAGTGGCGGCAAGCCGAGACCGAGAGACAAAAGAAAAGCATGACATATCCCATCAACGTCGCCCGGAACGTAGCGAGAACGGCGGCGAACACATCTCGCGTGCTGGTATCGGACATCGAGCTGCTGCCGAGCGCGCAGCTGGCCTCCAGCTTTATGGAGATGGTCCACGAAAGACCGCCCAAAGTCGGCTTGGTCTTCGTTGTCCCCGTCTTCGAGATAGAGTCAAGCGAGTCGCCGCCAACGACAAAAAGCGAATTGCTTGCTGCTTGTCGCGCTGGTTTGGCGGTATATTTTCATAGGTACGCGTGAGTTTTTATTCAAGCCGGATGTCTTTCCTAAATTGATTGTTATCAACGCTTTTTCTTTCTAAAACTCGCGAATGAGAATTATTATGTCTTAATCGTATACGTACATGCATGTGTATAATTAAACGCAGAGATGTTACTTCAGATTCCTCTGTCCGCACTGCCAACGATTTCCGGGACTGAACAGATGGATGTCCAGACCAGATCCGGGAAGAGTTCGACCGTTAATCATCACCCGGCGGGAGTATCCCTATCACAGATGGGAACCAGTCTTCATCGGCACACGTGAGGATCCGCTTTATACGGAAGAGATGTCCTGGGAAGGGAAGCAGGACAAGATGGCTCAGGTACCTATAACACGTGTATGTTTTGTGAATAGTTTTCTTTAAACATGAGAAACTTAATAAATAATTTTCGCTGAAGAGTAAATTTGCAACATACGTCACGTTGCTGTGTTACAAGTTTTTCTTTTGTTTAAATTTTTTTTTTTTTGATCAGTAATTTTATTTTGCTCCACATTTAATTTGTATTTCCATTTTTATAGATGTTCGAGATATGTCTTTTGAATTATCGACTAGTCGTGCTCGATGGAGCCTTTTTTGTGCATACGCCGGGAATTAAGCGAAAACCTCGCAAAATCAACGTCGCCACGCAGGAGTTTTTCCGACCGCACGAGAGAAGAAACGCGAAGATCTACCAACGTGTGATAAAACGTCTAATTAAGCAATATCCTGTCAATCGTAAATGCTCACAATGAGAGATTTTAGAAATCAACATAATTCCTTGAGAAAGACCGCTTCTCGACACACATACGGTGCCTGTATACATTCACATACCGACGATTAGAAAATATTTTTTCGGTGAACATCGAGTTTATTAAAATTATTTATAGAAAATCTGCAAAAATAATACTATTCACATTGTTTTCTCATCTCGCAAGAATAAAGGTTTTTATACACAAAGCTTATTTTTAAAATAAGATTTATATTTTCTTCTGGTGTTTTTTCCAACTTTAGAAAAATATAAATTTTAAAATAAGATTACGCATGAATATGAATACGCGGTGTGTGAGACATTTAATCTTCGAACAACTAAATTATGTATGAAAAAATTGTTACACGCATAAAAGTTGCACAATTTTAAAAAGTCATCACATAGCGTGACCTTATTTTATATATATATATATATGAGATGGAGATTTTGCTCTTTTCTTTCTTTTATTCCGATGTAAAATTTTTTTATTACGCAACTATTTTGTTATACGTTTTGTCTGCGCAAAGATTCGCGTAACGCGTTATATATATATCTTGCAAAATTAAAAAATACAAATGAATGAATAGTAAAGGCTCGTGAAATTGTCAAACTAAGAATGAAACAAGGCCGATACGAGCCATTTCCAGGATGTTGTGCAGGAATAAACGTGCATGTATATATATATATACACATGTATGAAAATTCTCATGTAAATTATTTTTACATGTGATTTTTGAATTGAAATTTTCAATTCTTAAAATCATATAGGATGCTAGATTTGCATCTCATATATGAAAGATC